TCCATCTTTACATTAATGTCGTACGAATGTCGACCGAGGTTACGCTTACGCAGTACCGTAGAATTAATCCGTTGAGGGCTGTCTATTACCTCATTCTGAGGTATTCCCAGTATAATGACACCGTGCAGCTAGTGCCAATCCATATACGGTATAATGAAATTTACAATGTGCAACAATATAAAGAGCATAACGCAGAGCAAACAACCCGTGTTAAATTTTTAAAGAATGGTCTCATCGATGTTCAATACTCACCGTTTTGCGCAGGGGTTGCGCCATATCCCGTGGTTTTGTTCAAATGCGAATCAGAGGACTCCAGCAAGTGGTGGTACGCAGCTGGCTTGGGAAACGGCTGGTGTTTGCGAGTTTGGACTCAAAATTTGCTGGTTCGTATAATAAAAACTTGTTTCGAAAAAAAATATGGGAGACTTTTATAAAGGGAATAATTTTCAATTTCAATTTCATTCAGGAAGTCGATAAAATAAAAAAGAAGTACATAATTTCATTAGAAAGTATTTAACGCGTTTACATGGTAGAAAGAGGAAGAGTGTTGTTGGTAATTACTATTGTATATCTTGTTAGGAAAGGATGTGGACTGCTAGTACAAGAAGGACCCGCAAATGTCCTACAATCACCTACGTAGGGCTATTGTCCACGTGACCAAAGGGCGTGACCAAAATCGTTTCTGACCTGAAATAAATTCCTCGCTATGTTCGCAGCAAGCAATATGTTTCGTGAGAATCTATGTATTCTATCAAATTGCAGCGCACACGACTGTGATGTTATCTAGAAGACCTAGATGCCGCTACTAGGACCTATTAGTTGGACTCAAGGAAGGCATTGATCCATTCCAGCACCTTGGCGCTGTTGTCGTCTTCGATGTAGTTGTCCAGGGCCGTGCTGAGCAGCTTGAACTGTCGCTCAGAGGCCGTGAACAGCTTCTTTTTCAACTCGGCACGAGCCTTGTCGTCCACCACCTTCTTTTCTGACAGCATTTCGATCGCCTTGAATATCGAGTCGAACTCGCCATCTTCTTCATCCTCCGCGGTTCCGTTGCTCACCACGTGCTGTTTCTTTGTGATCGGCACGTCCACGCCCGTGCTACCAAAGCCGCCGGCGCCACGAGCAGTCTCCTCGATCTCCTCCACCTCCTGGACCTCCGGGTACTCGATCTTTTCGAGGATGAGCTGAGCCACACGGTCCCCGCGCTTGACTGGGAAATCCTCGTTCGAATGGTTGAACAGAATTACGCCCACGTTGCCGCGGTAATCAGCGTCAATGACACCAGCGCCCGTGTCGATGAACTTCTTCCATGCGAGACCTGAGCGAGGTGCCACGCGTGCATAGCAGCCGTCGGGAACGGCGATGATAAGGTCCGTCTTGACCAGACCCTTACCGCCTGCTGGGACGACGGCGTCGTAGGCGGCCGAGAGGTCCAAACCTGCTGCGAGGCTCGAGCCGCGCGTGGGCAAGATGGCCTCAGGCGTCATCTTCTTGACGCGGAGGACGGGGGCGGGGCGGCTGCGCTTGGTGGTCATGGTGCGGGCTGTGGCGCGGAGAGCAAGATGAGGAGTGCGCAGGAGCAAGAGACGCATTGAAAAGAAGGGAAGAGGAGTTTTGGCGCGAGAAGATCGGATTGGATGATATGAATTTGGACACCGCTGATTGGCTGAGAATCAGATCTCGATGGTACACCAATCGTTGGTTGAAGTTGAGACCTTCACTCTGCAAACGACACCTACTCTTACTTCATATATATGCAGCATTAACTGCACCAACAATGATGAGGGAACGAAAGAGTGTCCTTGTATTTGATCGCGTTACAGCTGAAGAACTGAATTCCACGAGCGCGACTGGGTACGCTAGGCGTTGGATTCTGCGAAGCCAGAGCCCGGGTTCTCATACTTGCAAGGGCTGCCGGTGCTACAACTCGAAGCACAGCATTTGTCAAACGCGTCCTCGCTGATATGGCCTTGTTGCTGGCAGCACGTGGCGATGTCGATATTTTTGTACGAGTATTACTCTCCGCAGGCTGGCTCGCAGACCCTCAGCGGCTGCGCACTTGCAGGGGCGAACGAAGTGGTTGCGACGGCAAAGAGAGCAACGAAGAAGATCTTGGCGTTCATTGTTGTAGCTTAAAGGTTTTCGGTTGATTTGGTGGCTCCTTGTCAAATTGAAAACTGATGCATCAGGACATTCTTCATGCCTCACGTGTAATTCTTCAACTAATGGGCTGGGTCCACTCAATAACAAAAGCGTTAATTGAATGAGTAAATCTTCTGTTGTTGGGAGCATCATTGTTGATGACGTGGCTTCATCTACATTATTGACCACATTATAATTGAAGATGCCGATTATTGCCGATACAATAGGCTGTATCGTTAGTTTTCTTGTTGAATCTGACGTTGGATCTGCGAGCTGTAGCTTTGCGAGCGGGTGTTACTCGGCAGGGCTCATCACAATGGCCAAGCCCTGCATGAACTAAGCACAAATGCCCGGGGGTGACTTGAGATCTTGCCGCAGAACAACTCTTAAAAAAATGCAAGTACGAGCTATTCATTAGATAGATTTTTTACAGAAAGAACGTCCACCGAGTATCCGAGCAACCAACGCTCAAGGGATCTTGTTGGCGAGCTAACTGTAGTGTCTGCGGGGGAGTCGAAGACACGATGGGGGAGTCGGCGAGCTCCCTGAAGTTTGGCCGGAGTGTATTCTCTTTTAGGGAAAAGTAGAAGTGAGCTTATACCTATGTGCTATCGCTTTGGCTGCAGAAGGTGAAGTTCTTGCAATCAGAGATGTCGTTATCTAGGCATCTACATACGCGTTATTAGCTGGATGATTTTTTCCTTGTCATCCCGCGTCGCGTTATGAGAGCCTGGCTTGTAATCGCGTTGTGCGTTATGTTTGATCAGCCTTCAGCTGCTACTGCGAATAGCTGGAGCTGGCTTGTTGTTACTGCTTGTAATGTAGCTCTACACTACACTAACACCTAAAAAACAGGAAAACACTCGTCTAAGTTATAGCATTTAATTAACCCTTGAATAACCTCTCTTGAACCCTTACAATCGAAATGCCGAGTTTGTGGAGTTCATGAGCAATAACGCATTCATCGATTACATACACATGTAACTTACCAGAACCTCACTCCGAGCAGGCCTACGGTATTATAATAGTTTGTTGCAAATCGTCGTCGTAGTACTTGCCGTCATCTATTGTATCGAATGATGACGTGTATATAAAACGCGTTCTGTACATGTGCTGCATCTGAATTTACTAAAGTCATTGACAAATGGTCTCCTGAACGGAGAAGCAATTACTTCGAAGAATTCACAAGTGCATCGGTAACTATGAATATCGTCTAAACTACTATTGCCGCGATTTTGCTACTTGCGACTCAACTCAACATTGAAGCTGAAGCTACGGAATATCGGTCCAACCTCCCACCTCCCAATCCAGGCTACGACCCCAGGAAGAACCCATGCAGAGATGTTCATTCTCGCACTTGCTACGACAATTGAAGTGGAGGTTAAGCTGATACCTCTCTTTTCAAGAACAAACAGAGAGAAAGTTGGTG